TCCTTCGAGGACTCCTAATATAAGGCACTTGACCAGATGTGACTACGACAGAGAAGAGTCCGTTTGCGATTCTATCGACTTCGGCTTCGATATCTTGCTCAGTAGTTGATGGTGCATTGAGAAGATAGTAGGAGGTGGAGTCCGTTGGAAGCGATGTGGAATCGCCACCTTGTACGGAAGGCTGTTGCGGAGGGGCAACGGATGGTTTCGAAGGAGGGAGAAGAGAGAATAGTTGAGGAGAGGGCGTCACGAAGGAGAGGTATTGATCCAAAACCTACTCAATCCAAAGTGAGCATTCTCTAGATCTTACTACATGTAAAAGATTCACCTGCTCTATGAGGTCATTTGTTCCATCTTTGGCTACTTGATTCGCTAGCTCCTCTAGGAGGGTTCTAGGAAGTGGCTCCACGAATGAGAGATGATACGAGTCGTAGAGTCCAGCACTCAAGTCTTCTGCTATCCGTTTGATATTCTGCAAGGTCGGAGATACAAAATAGACGGCAGGAACGTCTGGAAGAGGAGGTCGTGTACTATGCAATTGTCTGGACACGTAAAAGGTCGTTCAAGAACGCGTCAAAAAGTTGATTAGCCCAGTCGCGAGACAATAGTAGTTTAACATACACATGAAGTGTCACACCTACGTCTCGGAGGTCCTGAACACGTAGTACAGTTGCGAGTACATCTTTAGTCCTATTGTCCAATATGAGAACTTTCCAAACGGCTGGCCCAGTGGCGGCGGGAGTTGATGTTCCTTTAGATTAGGCATTTATATCAGCCGAATGAACTGTCCGGCATTTGATATTTGCTCATTACCTGATTTCTCTACAGTTGTCGTAGTTGTCGTCTCGTTCAAATTCAGCAAACTGATCAGAGAGTTGGTTTGCAATTGTTGGAGCGAGGCAGAAGAAGGTGTTGTCTATATACACAGCATTAGCACACTGGCATCATACTAATAAGGCAGCATAGTGTCCTAAAAATGCTGACCTACCGATTTCTGTTGCGCCATGGTTGTTTGGGGACCGTCAGACGATTGTAAAATTCGGGTGGGGCGTTATTAACGCGTCTTGTATGGCTTATTCTTGCAGTTTGTATTCGAATATTGGAATTACAAGGTCACCGAAAAGGCTCCCTACTAAATGTCACAATAGCCAGGTCGAAGGAGCAATCGTGGCCAAAGCGTGGCCAGTTCCAAGGCAAACATTCATACAAGAGACACAACTCTAAATAATGTGATATTTCGTGTAATCTTTATATTCTAGATCCTAAGGGCTAGTTTCATTCTCTTATTCCACTCAGTCGAAGCTTCGAATATGGTAGATGATTTCATGAATTTCTAGAAACCGAAATATACACTGTATAGACCGTTAAGAGCACAGTATTCATCTCTTGTACTTATATCCCCTTAGTGTATCTGGGGCTGTCTGCCAATACTCTGTACGTGACCTTAGCGATTCAAACATAGAACGAGCTCTAATGAAAGTCTCTATAGAACGACTGGTACTCTCAATGCGTAGCCGGCACAGCAACCACCTCATCGACCACGAAGACATCAACGACGTCGACTAAAACCAGTACTTCATCGACTAAGACTTCAACTACTACTACTACTAAGACGTCGACTACTTCCACCAAGACGTCGACCACCTCCACCAAAACGAGCACGACTAGTGTTGCTTCGCCAACTGGTATCACCACTACGCTCCCTGCCTCTTCGGTAAGCTTATCATCACAAGCGCCAAAGCAAAGCTGTGACCCCCGTTTCCAAGGGCTATACTTCTTTGCCCACAGCTAGTGTCATCACTGGCTCGTTCGATGGCAAGATGGTCAAGTATGACCGTAAAGGTAGCGGTAAGTGCTCATTCATCATTTTAGTTTCCTTAGCATCCCCTGACTGACCAAAACCTAGACGGTGCCTGCGCTGAGCAAGACGAGACGGGTGAGGATCACGCAGTTTTCATCTTAGCATCCGGCGCTAGCATCTCCAATGTGATCATTGGAGCCGACCAAGCTGAGGGTATCCACTGCCGCGGACCATGCACTCTCACTAATGTCTGGTGGGAGGATGTCTGTGAAGGTGAGTAACGGTCATATTGATTATACAGAATCTCATCTCTGCTCTAGATGCTGCCACTGTAAGCTAAAGGTCATCTTTCGCCGGGGATTTTACTGATCTGTGACCTGAAATAGTTCAAACAAACTGGCTCCGGAGATATCTCCTACATCAATGGTGGTGGTGCTTTCAGCGCTTCCGACAAAATCTGTGGGTACCCAATCCAAATGCTCTACACCTACTTACTCCCTATCTAGTCCAACACAATGGTGCTGGAACCGTCAAGATCAGCAACTTCTTTGCCAACACTTTCGGAAAACTCTACCGTTCATGCGGTAACTGCTCTACCAGCTACGAACGTCACGTCGTTGATGTCTTCGTGGTCGATGAGGTGGTTGCTGTGCCGGCTACGCATTGAGAGTACCAGTCGTTCTATAGAGACTTTCATTAGAGCTCGTTCTATGTTTGAATCGCTAAGGTCACGTACAGAGTATTGGCAGACAGCCCCAGATACACTAAGGGGATATAAGTACAAGAACAGAATTTAGCGATGTTAACTGACCAGGTGGTTTCGCCGGTATAGTTGAGGCCACCACATTGGCCATAAAGTGGCACATCGGCTTTTACAAAGTGGGTAACCCCGAGGAGAGTAAGAGCGATAGCAGTCGGCGTGAACATTTTGAGTACCGGATGGGTGAGAATAGTTCCAGCACAAAAGTGCCTCCATGGGCCCTATTTATGGAGCTTCGAACGCTAGTATGGTAGCTTAAGCGTTGAAATGAATATTGGATTATCGGATAAATCTATCGGAAGTACTAGTGGTCATCCTTAGAATCTGTGAATAGACGTGGGGTCCGTAGTAAGGCATTTTGGCTATCGGGTAGTGTATTAGAATCCCTGCCAAGGAGAACTAGTCAATCGAGCTTACCGAGTCTCTATCTCCTTAGCTGACATGTGAGGCTCCTGGAAATGACCGAGACAGGGAATTCCTTGATCGTAACAGCGAAGCGGGTAATGTGGGCGGGCCGAGTTGGGGTCTGTCATAGGGGCCGGCTCAGCCGTGATGATCCTTGCCAACCCGATGTTTTAGGTTATTATCCGATGAACTAGGGAAGATTGAAGAATCACAAGAAGGATGTGAACTACGCTAACAGTTTGCGCCTAATTGTGGCAATGTTTGCACAGGGCTGGTAAAAGCCCGCAGGTATGAAAAAAGTGCTCCAGTTCACACTAAAAGAAGGGAAGTCCAGAACCATTAATCGATGGTTCGCATTGACGCACGCCTTTAAGGATAGAGGTTGTCACAACGTATCGCGCACATGAAGACGACTGCGGGATTCAATCCTGATGGTACTTTTTATTCTCGAATATAGTTTGTGTCTTCCTCCAACACCTGAGGAGCCCAGTAAGGGCAGGTAGATGATCCGACGAAAGACAATGCCATCCCGAGAACGAATCAAAGGATGGTAAATGTCTAGGCGTGATGATATAGACGTAGGGAACGAAGTAGAAGCAGAACTCGGCAACTCTTGGTATTGGACTGGACAAGAACTGGGAGAGGTTGCAGTGCAAGTCGTGAATATCACTTGCCACCATCGTGCAAGTTGGAGTCATCCTTCAAACATGTCATCCGAATGAAAACGGTACATGATCCACAATATTCAATGTATGGGTCACGGTAGTCTATGATGAAATTCATTAGCATTTTTATGCAGTGCTTGAAGTTTAGCTTCATTTAACGATTTAACATACAAGTTCCAATCTTTAATGGCCATCCGCAATATGAACATCCTATTCTCTACAGGTAACAGTACTGACCCCCTTTTAATATACATAGGCTTCAGAATGGGATCCCGAATAACAATACAAACCCCAGCTCTGCGATAGAGGTACGTTTTCATCATCCGTGTCAATCTGTAGGAACATCCAGGACGCTAAAAACCAAGCTAGGGCATCCTTCGAAACATGATACCTAGAGTTGTCAAGAGCGGGTCGATGAATTATACTTGGACCGCAACCCACCCGGCATTGCTAAAAGACGTTGGCGGATTGTGATCCGCTACTCCGTACATACGAAGATCATACGCTCTACTCTCTGGATTGTACAACGCTGTGTAGATCATCTATGGGCTTACCGGTACCGCTATGCAAGGCGAAATCCTGCCAAGCTTAAAAGAAAATCCCCGTGGCTCATAGGTGCGATGATTACCAATGATAGGAATCTATAGTTAATTATATAGTTTCATGGCAATCAATTTCTCATACAACACTCGACTCATACTGATTGCCATTGGTTGGTGACATCAACAGGCGATTCTCATTCAACAACGAGTATGCATCTCCCAACTTGGATCCTATAGGGACTCCTATACTATACTAACCAATAGCCAAAGGAGGTATGAGTAATCTTTCTCGGCACATACTCCTCGAGAAGTCAAAAAAAATAGGCAATACAATCGCCAGATGAAATCTCGGAACCATCCCTAGAAGCTGCCATTCGCCTCTCGGCGTGGCTGCTGCGGCGGTTAAGCAACCCATACGTGGGATTCCGGTTCCTTACTGTCAAAATAGGTCCCCCTCAAGTCGACACTTGAAAAGATGCCATCGCAAGTATCTATTTTTGACCGGCTGTATCTCTCCCCTAACGACACGGTTTTAGGACTCGCCCTTGTATCGTTTCCCACCTTCACTATGTCTCGCGAACAAGCAAATGAGCTGCAAGACCGAGCCCATGAAGCAGAAGTGTCTGGGGACTACCCAAAAGCGCTTGAACTCCAAACCGAGCTCGCAACAGTCCTCCCCACTCTGGTCGCAAACGGGGAACCAAGATCTGACGAAGGTAGAAGAGACAAGGAGCGACTAGAAGCTACAAGGGAACGTATAGAAATACTTCGAAATTTTGTACAGAAGAGAAAAGGGCCAGCCCCCAAGCCATTGCCTTCCAAGGCGACAGTTGCAAAGGAGATGAGGGAGCCTCCGTCTGGTACAGTCCTTTTGAGCAAGGTATGGCATCTTATCATTGGTGCTTCATGGCTAATACGACTATTCAGGTCGAGACGGACCACTCGGCTCCTTTGATCGTTGCTTCAGGTTTGCCAAATCAACCTGATCCAAACCAAGTTGGCTCGACTTATATTACACCACTCCTCTCCACCTCAATACCCGATACGGTCTACCATGTTTACAAGGAAATCGAACAACGTTATAACGGAATGGCAATCTTCCTCTATATCAAAGGGGAAGATAAGGTCACCTATTACACTCTTTCGGCGTTAAAAAGGTTTAATTACCAGATTTCCGAAATGAGAATGTCACGCGCAGCGGAATATGGGGAGGACTGTGTCGTAGTGGATATCGATCCAATTAACCCAAAGGGATATAGCGCTGGTGAATTTCTCTCTGCTCACCTAATCAGCGCAGGTGTAGGCCGGGAACATAACGCCGCCAAGAATGGTAGACTGGGACGCTCTATGACCTTCCGGACAACGGCGACCTCGACGCCCATCACAGAAACTCTCGACGGGTCTGTCGAAAGGAAGGAGTGGTGGCCTAGAAGGTTTACATATGGAAACCGTAGATTCGTTTGGAGAAGGGAAGCATTGGAAGGACTGTTTGAAGTAGAGAAGGAATGGTCACACCCAGACGACACATCCGAAGCCATTCTTGACCAAACCCACGGCCGCTCACTTCTCACATCGGTACCAAAGCTAGCAAGGAAGAAGTTGTGTACGATCAATATTGTAGGAGGGTTGGATCAGCAGTTCCGAGAATATCTCCTTGCCAGTCACCTCGCCCCACAGATAATTATGACCCATGGGCACACTGACATGTAAAGTAACATTTCTGCCAAGTATCTAGGAAGTGAATATAGTTGAATGAAAGCATTGCCTACAATAGTTCATCTCTCATGTATGAATATAGTATCAGCGAGTCTCACAGTGCAATATGATTTGCAAGCCGTTGGAATATAATGCCAATGTTCCTTGGTATATGCCAGACCTTAACACGGTGGCTTCATTCTCTGCTTCAATTACTGAATATCACTCCTAAACGATCTAATGTGAAAAAAAAAAGCCCCAAGTCGATGCCTAGCTACTGGAATTACTCGTCATCTCCACTCCTACCAATGTCAGATAGACCCGATTCTTACATGCTAGATAACAACTAGGGGGAGGATACATCCGTACATATTTCCTGAAAGGTCAAGGAAGTGGGCAATACAATTTTGAGATGTGATTTAGGAATCATCTCCAGCAGCTCCGATTCGCCGGATGCGGTAGCCGTCACGATAGTCATGGGACCCGTGCGGACGGTTCGTGAGAATATGTATGCCTTTCTATCAATATTCTCCCGGCCAAGTCGACAATTGAAAAACACAGTCACAAGTGCCTGTTTTAAATACACTCTTTTTCATCTCCCAACAGTCTCAGCTTGCGGTTCTTCGCAAACTTGACCCCTCCCGCCATGTCTCGTGAACGAGCAAACGAGTTGCAAGACCAAGCTAATCAAGCAGAGGTCTCTGGTGACTACCAAAAGGCGCTTGAACTTCAAACTGAGCACGCAGCAATTATTCCGACGCTAATCACGAATGGAGAGCCAAGGTCAGACCAGGGCAGAAGAGACAAGAGGCGATTAGAGGCTACGAGGGAGCGTATAGAAGTACTCCGAACTTTTGTACAGAAGAGAAAGGGCCCAGCTCCCAAGCCACTTCCCTCTAGGGCGACAATTGCGAAGGAGATGAGGGAGCCCCCAGCTGGGACCGTCCTTTTGAGTCGGGTATGTCATCTAACCACTGAGA